AGCTAGGGGGTGGGAAATTCATAACATATTCATAACAAGGAATTTAAAAACCTCTTGTAATAGTAATACATTTTTTTTAATTCCCCCTGCAAACATTTAATTCCCCCATGCTATTCAATTTCATACACGACACTCCCTTCTCCTCCTATTCACTTTTGTCTATAAAAATGTGTGACCACTAACTAACTGCTGCCCCCTGCATGGCCACCCTTCTGAAAAATTTATGGCTGCATCCGAAACCGCTTACTACTCAATAGGTGCTGCATTTGAATTTAAACGTACTTCTCTGCCGTTAGAAAAGTCCGTTCAATACAGTATGGATATGGAATTCGGACGTACTACATCCGCCATTTTGTCATGATCATGTGACCAACCCATACAGTTGTGTTCCTTCACTCCCATTCATTAATTCTCTGATGGGTCATCGTTGGATAGCGCAGCGTGAATGAGATGCACTCTTCAGAATCTTGCCGGAAGTAGTAGGTCATCGAAACGCAATCTCACAGCAATTCGTAGCTTTTTAATTTAGTGGCTAATTTGTATTAATTCGTATGATCTAATTCGTACAGTTTAGTACGATTTGCTCATCACCCAATGACGGTTGGGGTTAGGGGTGGGGTTGGGTGCCACACCTTCTTTTAAAAATCATACATTTTCATACGACTGAACTCGTACGAATTGGCCACTAAACCGTCATAACGTAAAATACCTACGTTTCCTCGTGAGATCCGGCTGGTCATACGGGTACTTCTCGCATACTGATTCTTGAATTCTCGGACATACTACTCAGCTCGCATACTGTTTTTAGCGTACTATATAATATGGAAGTATGCGGTTTCAGACTCAGCCCATGCCTCCGCCATTGGGGGTGTGGCTAAGGATATTTCATCCAATTTGTCAAACTGACATCATCAGAGAAGGACGGTCATTTCAGAGTGGAAGCAAATGATTAGATTTTGATTGAAGATTACCCAAAACAAAGTTTTTTTTTCCAGTGGATTAACTTGCAGGGATTAAATGTTCACTTTAGGATTAATAAGGTGTGCTAGCAAAATAAACATCGTAAATTTGACTTTAAAGTTCATGCGAAATCACAATTTACAACGTTTATTTTGCTAGCACACATTGTTATTCTTTAGGTCAGGCGTTTCAAACTGCGATCGCCTTATCCACCCCCAACCCTACAGTTCGCGATTGACTCCTCCACCCACAGCTCCCCATAGCTCTTGAGTTCACGATCTTCTCTCCCTTACCCCCTGCCTCTTTCCGCTCTTCAGTTTGAGCTTGAGACCCCTGCTTTAGGTGAACAATTACTCTGTGCAAGTTAATCTACTGAAATTAACATTTGTATTTTAGGTAATCTTTAATAAAATCTGACCATTTGCTTTTCGCTTGGAGGGGCGGTCCTTCTCTGATGTTGTCAGTTTGATAGTTTCAGTCACAATATTCTTAACCAGGTCCCTCCTACAGTGTAAAACCCAAAATGTTAAGGTAACTCAAAACATTTGAGGAAACTGATCGCAACAAAGAGACTTTAATCAAATAAATACTGTAGCATTTTATTTTGATGGAATATTCCATTTAAGTGCATCAACATACTGAAATAAGTCTCAGCAACTTTCGATTTCTGCAGTCTTTAATGTCCTCATGAAGTAAAAAGAGTCGCGAACATCATTTCATGTTGACTTTGAAACACAAATATTAATGTTACCAGTTCCCTGCAGGTCTCAGGCTGATAGTCTAGATCTCCCATCACTGGATTGTTTTCAGAGACTTTTTCAGAAACTATGAGCCGAAAGTGGCCTCAGGCAGCTAAAGTCAGTGTGTGTGTGTGTTTGTGTGTGTGTGGTTATATATATGTGATCTAGACATATGTGTGAGTGTTTGAGAATTTACTACAAGCCATTTATTTCTGACACTTATGCTTAACGTTTGACCATCATGCCAATCTTTCGTATTTGGTTTTGATGGATTCTTATGGTGGTTGCATGTCAGAATGTGGTTTAAAATAATTATTAGGGTTTTATTTTGTACTTTTCGCTCGTCGGCTTGGTTTTTAAACGTGAGCCGATCGCATGTAGAGGAATATGAAACGTTGCACATGTCCGGTTGAGATTTTTTGTTCTGTTGAGTTTTTTTGTGTGTCGACTGTCAACACGTCACGATTGCAGAAAGACTGCACAGATTTCATCATCACAGCAGATTAAAGAGGACGGTCTCTGTAAAGCTGGTCTCTGGCACTATGATCAACATTGTAAATAGTCTGTGAAGAGCTGAAGTAAAGCCACTGCTGGCTGATTTCTTATAGTGGCCTCTTTCTTGAGGCTGACAATAAACATCCAATAGAGAACAGAGTTTCTGTTTCTTATATGAGCCTCAGAAGTCTGTCTTTCTTGTGTGTGTGTGTGTGTGTGTGTGAGTGTGCCTGTGCCATATCAATGATTGGAAATAAGTTCAATCTGATTAAATTGTGTAGCTATATGAAAAAAATACTGTAGGTAAAAATTATTCGTCCTCCTATGAATATTTGTCAAATATTTCCCAAATTATGTTTAACAGAGCAAGGAAATTTTCACAGTATTTCCTATAATTTTTAGTTTTTTCTGGTGAAAGTCTTATTAGTTTTATTTTGGCTAGAATAAAAGCAGATTTAATTTTTTAAAACAATTTTAAGGTCAATATTATTTGCCCCCTTAAGCTATATTTTCGATAGTCTACAGAACAAACCATCGTTATTCAATGACTTGCCTAATTATCCTAGTTGAGGCTTTAGAAATATCTATTCATTTATTATTTACTGTCATCATGGCAAAGATAAAATAAATTAGTTATGAGAAATGAGTTTTTAAAACTATTATGTTTATAATAGTTATTTATATATATATATATATATATATATATATATATATATATATATATATATATATATATATATAATGTGTGTGTGTGTGTGTGCGTGTGTATATATATATATATATATATATATATATATATAAAAAAGTCTTTTATTAACTTACAAAGCCCTTTACAACCTTGCACCCGATTACCTCTCTGATCTTCCTCACTGGTACACTCCTCGGCGCTCACTGAGATCTTATGCTGCTGAACTGTTGTCAGTTCCAAATTTTAAGATGAAAACATTTGGTGGCGGGGCTTTTAGCTGGATATCACAGTTATGGAATACCACAGTTATGGAATTTCCTGCCGTTAGATATTCGTCAGGTGAACTTTATCTCCAATTTTAAATCCCAGGTTAAAACCTTTCTGTTCAGGATTGCTTTTAATGATTTTCTGGATTAATACTATGTTTTATTTCTCTTCTGTCTTGTTTTTATAATGTGCCTGTGACATACTGTAAGGTGTCCTTGAGTGCTTTGAAAGGCCCCTACAAATAAAAGGTATTATTTTTATTATAATTATGTTTAGAAATGTGTTAAAATCTTATTTTTGTTAAACAGAAACTAGGGAGAAAATATAGAAGGGGGCTAATAATTCAGGAGGGCTAATAAATTCAGACTTCAACTGTGTGTCAAACTGTACAGCGTGGTTTATTTTGTTGCCATTAACATGAACTAACAAAGAACAACCGAGCAGCAACTATTAATATGTATTTAAGATCAGAAGCTAACGTTAGTTCATGCACTGTGATTAACAACCTAATTAAGCATTTAAATGTCACTTTAAGCTGTATAGAAGTGTCTTGAAAGATATCTAGTCCAATATTATTTACTGTCATCATGACAGATAAAATAAATCAGTTATAAGAAATGAGTTATTAACACTATTATGTTTAGAAATGTGTTGAAAAAAATCTGCTCTTCGTTAAACAGAAATTGGGGAAAAAATAAACAGGGGGGCTAATAATTCTGACTTCAACTGTATCTATACATATATATATGAACACACACAAATTAACGGTCCTTCTTCATTACTTATTAAAAAGCTTATAAAATCAGCTTTCAGTGATGTAACCTGTATTTTCGGATGTTAAAAGTTGCTGCAACCACAGCAAGTTATCAGAGGTGATGTTTCTCAATGTCTGCATGACTGTACTAACTTCTGTCTAAACCCTTGCTAAATAACATCCCGGCACTTCTTGCATTCAAATACCTGGCCAGAAGACTGCATTTTGAGATGGTTTTCCCACTACAGATGGAGCAAATTTCATATCATCTTCACAGAGCTTTATCATGCCAGACTATCTCAAAGAGAAAAGAGAACAATTATATACAGTGCGGGAAATAAGTATTGAACACATCATGTTTTTTCCAGGGAATAATATTTCTAAAGGAGCTGTTGACATGGAGTTGAACCAGATTTTGGAAAAAATACAAACAATACAAACATAAAAACAATCTGAAAAATGAGTTATGTGTAAAAACAATAAAATGACACAAGGAGAAAATACTGAACTACTGAAATGTATAAATAGTTTATATAAAAGTTTTTTTTGGTGATAGCAGCTTAAAGACGCCTCTCATATGGAGAATGAAGTCACAAGCATTGCTCAGGTTTTCACAGACTTCAACAGTGTAAAAATCTTGATGGTTCTGTGGGTCTCGTCTATCAAATCTGATCTTTATATTGTATTTTCTATTGGATTCAAGTCAGGTGATTGGCTGGGCCATTCCTCAGCTTGATTTTCTTTCTCTAAAACCTTTAGAGAGTTTCCTCGGTTGTGTTTTGGATCATTGTCTTGCTGAAATGTCCACTATCATCTTCATCATCCTGCTAATGTAGATGCTGGACTGAAGCAGCTAATATTCATTTACAATGAGGAACAGCAGAGGGTTGCTGGTGACTCAATACTTATTTCCCCCACTGTAAATAGTTTTTTGTACCTGCTAATATTGAGTGTAATCAAAACAGGAAAAAAAAATTTAGTTACAAAAGGTGTGTCGCATACTTCCAGTCATGTGAAGTGTAATATACATGCATACACACATATATTTAATGTGTCTTTAATGTATCTTTTCTTCTCTCTTTTCTTCTGCTTCTAGTCTGAAGGCACCAGGAAAGAAGAAGGGAAATTGAACAAACATGATACATGGGAAGAAATTATGAAAACTCGTTATGCCTACAGGTCCAACACTCCTGCTTTATTTCCAAAAGAAAAGAATTGAGGGTTATATTTCAAGTGCCTTAAAGTCTGATTGTGTTGACTTACTTTATAAAACCTCATATTTATGTGATGCATATGATATTCTGATCGACTGAAGTTGTATAACGCTAATGTAAAAAGGGATATTTTGTGTTTTGAATGGTGGAACTGGAGATAGAAATAGATGAAAATGTCCTCGTCTTACTTAAAATTCAGAAGGTACTGTATTTTTTTTTTTTATCAATGTTTTATTTATTTTTACTTTATTTGCATTCCTATGCTTTTTGACTAAAGTGTTTTGCAGTGTTGTGCGTTTATTGTAGCTATCTTGCTTGTTTTGTATTAGTGCCTTATATATTTGGACTGTTATGTGTGTGAGCATTACAGACCTTCTCCAAAGTGCACTTTCAGGTGAACTGTTCTATACATGAATCTTACTCCAGATGATGAAAGATGATTTTTAGATGATGAAATCTGCATCTCGGACACGTTGTGGATGTGTAAGTTGCCTTTTCTTGGATTTGGTCATAATGTCTAGGCCTTATTGACTGAGATGCAGAGAAATATGCAAAGCATCATTCAGCCGCTTGAACAAAATCATCCTTCATCCTTTCAACGTTCGAATTTAAAGCAGAACTAAATGTTCAGTCATTTCAGAAGATTAATAAATCTTATGGTTGGAATAAATATTGTTTTAAAATCTGATCTGCCTTGTTAATGTTAATTGGTGAAATAGAATTACATTACATTTTGGTGTGTGTGTGTGTGTGTGTGTGTGTGTGTGTGTGTGTGTGTGTGTGTGTGTGTGTGTGTGTGTGTGTGTGTGTGTGTGTGTGTGTGTGTGTGTGTGTTAAACTCACTGGAAAAAATTATTCAGAAATAATTCATTGGATTTACTCAATTTTTTACGTTAAGTAGCTGTAAACAATTTATTTTGGCTGAATTTAAACAAACAAATTAAGTAGAATTTTATTCAATTTAATTTGTTTAAATTCAACACAAATAAATTGTTTGCAAGAGTTTTGCAGACATCATTTTTTTCAGAGCTATAGAGTGTTTTACATAGATAAGTTGATTAAGTGCAAGTAAAGTTCTTTAAATATAACGTTAAAAACATTTATAAACTTTAAATATCGAAATATGGGTGAAATATTGTTTAAATTAGTGTAACAGCAACTGGAATGTAGCTTTTGCTGCTTGTTTAAACTACTTCATTAAAATGAGTTAAAACAACACAATTCTTAAGTTTTTTTGTGGACCGCTTAATTGTTTTATGTTCAATCCACTTAAACTTGTAAAGCGATAAAGTTAACATGATTGATTTGTGTTGGGACAACATGAAGGACTATGTGGTACCCAGCATTTTTTTTTGGAACAGTGTACTTAAAAATGAAACATTATGTCAGCTATTTGTGACTATTTGTTGAGCACAATGTACTGTCAGATGCAGAGGCGGGTTTAGTGATTTGGGGGCCCTAAGCAGTTCCAGCCATGGGGCCCAACAGTCCTTAAACTAAATTATTTGTAGTTTTATATTTTTTAAATTTATTTTGCTGTCTTTTTTTCTATCCCTAAATCTCATTATTAATGTTTTCATTCATTCATTTTCTTGTCGGCTTAGTCCATTTATTAATCCGGAGTCGCCACAGCGGAATGAACCGCCAACTTATCCAGCACATTTTTACGCAGCGGATGCCCTTACAGCTGCAACCCATCTCTGGGAAACATCCACACACACTCATTCACACACATACTCATGCACTACGGACAATTTAGCCTACCCAATTCACCTGTACCGCATGTCTTTGGACTGTGGGGGAAACTGGAGCACCCGGAGGAAACCCACGCAAACGCAGGGAGAACATGCAAACTCCACACATGAAACGCCAACTGAGCCGAGACTCGAATCAGCGACCCAGCACCCTTCTTGCATTTTAAATGATTTGTTTTCCTGAAAATTGATTCACAACAAAAAATAAATAAAGTTTTTGAAACTGAATCTTTACCTGACTTGACTGCTGGACTGCTCCATGACTGAGGGTATAAGACAAATGTGCGTATATGGTACAATTACATTACAATGTAATTTGTTAGACCCTCACCAATACAAAATATGATAGAAAACGATGTTATGTGAATAATTTATACTTCTAGGTATTTATTGGGGGCCCCCACATTTCTTGGGGCCCTAAGTGGCTGCTTACTTTGCTTATTGGTTAAATCCGCCCCTGGTCAGATGCTCTGGTTTATTTTGGAATACAGCCAAAAATGCATTGTATGTGCCAAACAGATCCAGTTTTGTTTTATGACAAAAATCCTGTTCCATGATGCCAATTTTGTACATTCTTTGTAACGTTTTGTAAATTTCATACTTAGCATTGCTAAACACTTCATATGGATAATTATAAAGGCAATTTTCTCATTATTTTGATTATTTTGAACCTTTAGATTCTCAAATAGTTATCTAATGCGGTCTCCCATCCAGGTACTGACCAGGCTCAGCCCTGCCTAGCTTTAGTGAGTAACCGGTCTTGGACTGCAGAGTGATATGGCTGTTGTCCAAGCTTGTATTTTATTGTATTTTAACTTGCTGATATATGGATGAAATCTAGTTTGAAAGCTATTGACAAAGTATAAACTTTTAAAAAGACAATTCATTTTTATTTCGGGGCAAAACTGTGTTCCTTAATGCAGTCTTTTAATACGTCATCAAATAACTCTTGTTGTAATTATAATATCTTTTTGTGTATATTTTTGCTTTAATTTAAACTGTTGTTACACTGAATGAATTTTAGTGAGCGTCTTCTGTAATTTATTGCTAAAAACAATGCCAGCTAGTGTATGTGTAGATAATATCCTAAAACTGTTGACTGAAATAAAATCCTGTTGTTACATAGCCTTCCGGAATGTTTCAAGTATGCTGTTGTATCCGATCATTTTCATTATTTACCCTCATTTTTATCATTCAATCATTTTGCCTTCGGCTTAGTCCCTTTATTCATCAGGGGTCGCCACAGCGGAATGAACCGTCAACTAGTGTTGGGAAAAAAGTAATATATTAGTTTTACGTCTACCTTATCTCTTCAAAAAATGTAAAAAATGCAAATTGCCCAGCATATGTTTTACACAGTAGATGCCATTCCAGCCGCAACCCAGTACTGAGAAACACCCATACACTCTTTAACACACATACGCTACAGACCTTCTTGCTGAGAGGCGACAGTGCTCATTTATTATAAGCCCACGAAAATATAAAGGGACTTTTACTTTATTATTTCCCGCCTTCGACACGGGAAGTAGTCATACCGTAGAGTGAGTTGGCACGCATACCGGAAGTTGATTAGTGTGAAGTGCAGTCAGAGTGCACCAGAAGTTTTGACAGATTCCTGCAGGCCTTTCCGCGAATATTTCTCATTTTACTTCAAATTAAGTAAGTTCTAATAGAGTTATATATAATATTTATCTTCAGTCATATTCAGACTGTTAATTACGGACACGGTTAATATTGTGTTTACCTCAAACATCATAGCGGATTTGCTGATGTGACGTTAGTGGTTCAGAAACATGTTATGGTCTTGAGTTTGTTTACGTTTTCCCACTTATTTGTACGTATATTTTTCAAACATATACTTTATATTTATATATTTATTATGGTATGTTTAATTTGGTGTAATCTATAACAACTCTAAGCTAAAATAATGTATCTTTAACGTTATTTCATTCATTCGTTGCTAACAATTGATACGAGCTCTCGATTAATTTTATATTACGTTATTTAAATATAAGTCAGCTGTGAGAGCAGAGATTTTATTCTTTCTTTTTTAGGTTATCTATTACTATGATGTTTATGATGTTTTTTCCTGAATGATGGTCCATTGTGTGCTTTCTATGAACCACATGCTCTGATTTACTAACTTGCCAACGTTACACCTATTCGTTTCTCGTTGTAAATGACACGTATTTGTTATCGATCATGTCCGATAATCTGTAAAGGCCTCGTTTTTGTGACTAAGGGTTCTCTGTAGTGTACATAAGATGGTGCTGTTGTACTAGAGGACTTGAGTGACTACATTTTTAACATGATAAGATGTAAAAGGAATGAGTGGGGTTTGCCTCAAGGCTTTTTGTTGACATTTGGTACAATATGAAGAGTTCAGATGCAAAAACCTGAATTTCTTTCAAGCTCATTTGTGTAGCTTCAGTAATTTCACTTTTATGACAAAGAATATGTTACTTTCATTACCTTGCAAAAAAGGTAAAAACAACTTATTAACAAATATAAGAGGCTGAGAAAAACAGTCATTGTAGAAGAAAATTCCAGATGACACTTATGAGTTTTTGCATCTAAACTCTTCGTATATGTTTAGGAATCATATGCTTTGTTTAATTATGCTTACAGGGTCATATTTATATTTATAATGCTTATACTGACCACTATTGATTGTCTTTGTACAGACTTCCAGGTAGCCGTCATGAGTCTTCAATGGACGGCTGTGGCGACATTTCTATATGCTGAGGTGTTTGCTGTACTGCTACTGTGTGTCCCGTTCATCTCCCCAAAACGGTGGGTTTTGCAACACATGCTGAGTTAAAAGTCCTAAGTTTATGGTATTGTAGTAATCCTAAAAGGATAGTTCACCCAAAGTTAAAATGTACACCCTATTTACTCACCCTAAAGTGGTTTCTTTCTTATGCTGAACACAATATAAGATATTTTGAAGAAAGCTGAAAACCAGTAAGAGTGACACAGTGGCTCAGTGATTAGCACTGCCACCTCACAGCAAGAAGGCTGCTGGTTCGAGTCCACTGAGCTAGTTGGCATGTCTATGTGGAGTTTGCATGTTCTCCCTGTGTTTGTGTGGGTTTCCCTCAGTCTAAAGACACGCGGTATATGTGAATTGAATAAGCTATATAGGCCGTAGTGTATGAGTGTGAATGTGAGAGTGCATGCATGTTTCCCAGTACTTGGTTTTAGCTGGAAGGGCATCCGCTGTGTAAAACATATGCTGGATAAGTTGGCGGTTCATTCTGCTGTGGCGACTCCTGATGAATAAAGGGACTAAGCCAAAGGGGAATGAATGAATGAATAAATGAAAACCAGTAACTCTTTACTTCCATTGTAAGAAACTAAGGCTATAAGTGAATTACAGGTTTCCAACATTTTTAAAAATATCTTCTTTTGTGTTTCAAACTCGTAAAGGGTGAGTAGATGATGATGGGGTTTGAATAATTAGTAGAATTGTCCCTTTAATAATGCCTTGGAGTCATTGGAAATTACTGTAATTTCACCTCTGATCAATTTCTGATCTTTCACAAGACTTTTCTTCAGAACAAGGCTCTTTCCAGGAAACATTTAAACTCTTTCCAGTATTAAATGTGTCCATTTGTTGTGTAATGTTGCTGTGTTAAAGCGATCAAACATTAATAACGCTGAGTTTGGATGTTTTGATTCCAGGATAATTACATTTTGAGGAGCTCTTTTATTCCACGAAAATAGGGTCAAATAAGAGCCTTGTGAGAAAATAATTTCTTAATTTAACGGAATTCGCATGAGCCTCCCACCTATTTAGCTTGGTAAACAACATGTTCCTTGGAAACTCAGAGAAAAACCTCTTGAAGATGCTTGTTTGGTATTTTTTTTCCATTTTGTGCGAAATGTAAACCTTATTATGTTCTGTGGACTAGTTGAGAAAGATTATCATTATCTTTTGTGCCCTTTTGCCCTTATTTTTATTAAGATGTTATCTCTGCTGTTGTCTTTGTAGATGGAGCAAATTTTTCAAGTCCCGGCTGGTCACTGCCATTACGAGTTATGGAAACACTGCATTCATTGTCATCATTTGTATTCTTGTCTTTCTGCTCATAGGTGAGATTGAAATCTGAACTTTTCCATTAAACAGTCTTCAGAAGTCAGTGTTGATCATGAAGAAGATGTTAAATTAAAAATACCACTCGCACCATTCTCATTTGCTACTACTAAATTGCGAAAGTGGGTCATTTAGAAATGATTGCTGCGCTGATTTCATAACATACTCATTGGCATATGACTATCTGTATGTACATAGCCAATTTATTGCACTATCTAGTATTAAGCAACTTGGCAGAGAAGGTTAGTTACAAGAGATCAACAAATTGCTTGTTTTAAAATGTTTTTTTCCACAGGTAGGATGAATTGCATTGATAAGAAGTCACAGTAATGATATTTATAATAATACAAAATATTTTGTATTCAAGCACATGTTATTGAACTTTCTTTTTAATCAAAGGATCATTAAAAAAATGTGTTGAATTTTCCTCAAAGATATTAAGCATCAGTGTGGTTTTATTTCTGTTTTATTACATTTTTCAATTTTGCTCTATTTGATTTTTATTTTGTTCTAAGCATAAAAATAATTAAATATCTACACTCACCGGCCACTTTATTAGGTACACCCTACTAGTACTGGGTTAAACCCCGAATGCCTTCAGAACTGCTTTAATCATTTGTGGGATAGATTCAACAAGGTACTGGAAATATTCCTCAGAGATTTTGTTCCATATTGACATGATAGCATAACACAGTTTCTGCTGACTGCACATCTATACAAGGCAGGATGGATTCATGCTTTCTTGTTGTTGATGCTGACCCTACCATTTGAATGTCGCTGCAGAAATCGATTCTCATCAGACCAGTCCACGTTTTTCCAATCTGCTATCGTTCAATCTTCTATTGTTCAATCTTCTATTGCCCCCTTAGAAAGAATTTGCCCCCCCCCCCCAGTTTTCATAAAGGATTGTTCACTCAAAACTGAAAATTCTTTCTGTCATTAATAACTAACCCTCCTGTCATTCCAACCTTCAGAACACACATTTAGATATTGTATAATATGAAATAGCAATTCAACTATGAAATATGTGAGCTAGGCCTATAGTCCAGAGATCTGGTCCCCGCGTCAGGTCAGGTGCGCCCGTATAAACATGCACACGGCGATGGAGGCGCACTGAACTCACACAGGAGAAAACTGGACTAGTGGATGACATGAGGCTAGCAGCCTAATTCATTACATACATTTGTGCAGGTGGTATCGTTCATTTCAAGTCTTTTGAGTCGTTCATCACGGAAAGGCAGAAGCCAATCATATGCGTTTAGAGGCGGAAAAAGAATTGATCCGCTCATCTCTCGAGTCCTCTATCGGGTCCGAGTCATTCGTTCATCACGGGCTAATCATTTGAGTTTAGAGCCGGAAAAAGAATTGAATTGAAAGGTGAACTAATTATCATGGCTCCTATCGACTCATACTGTGTAGATTGGTTAAGATTATATGTGACTGTCAGTGTAACGTGAACAAACCACTGACATTTGAAGACATGAAGAGGTGAGCTGAGCAAAGAGACAAAAATACCTTCATAGACAAAAGAGCAGGTAAACACTGAAAGATTATTTTCTCCTTCTTATAGTGTTCTATTTATGACTTATTTGTCATGTGATCAACCTTTTGGGCTAGTTGTAGATGTGTTTGGAACCAATAACATTTTAATAATATTTTGGCAAATTTAACCAAGTTAACGAAATGACTTGAAAAAAATTCATTCATCTCGATGAACGAGACTCAAAGATCCGAGTCAGTAAAATGATCCGAAATACCCATCAATAATTGTGACATCCATAAAACATGTAATTTATGTTGTTTTGCTGTGGTTGAGCTCGATTTCTGAATGAAAATGCAAACTAAAGTGTGTTACTGCCTCTACAGATGCATTTAGAGAAGTGAGAAAATACAGCGTGGCAGAGAAAGTGGATCTGAGCAACAATCCTGTGGCCATCGAGCACATCCACATGAAGCTGTTCAGAGCCCAGAGGAACGAATACATCGCTGGCTTTGCTCTGCTTCTGTGTTTGTGAGTTTTTTTTTTTTTTTCTTCCCATCTCTCAGTCATTTTCTGTAGCTCTCACTCCCTGAGGACACTTTTATTTCTGTATTTTACCCTCCTCAACATGTCTGTCTTTGGCACTGTTCTGAACGTGATCGGTTACACGATTTGATTTCTCTTTAGCTGTTGGCTCCAAGCAAATTTTCTGGACCAAGCTTGTAAACAGAATAGATCACAGCCACGACTCTGAGAACAGGGTCATGGAGTTTTGCACGTTCCGTTCCAAAGAAGTGCTTTTGAAAGAAGATGAGCAAGTTGATTTAATCGTGTCATATTGCAGCGCATCCTAAAATTACCAGCCAACTGGCTAATAACGTATTTAGGTCATAGACGGAGCCCCATTTTTTTATATGGGTCAAATTAATCTGTAAATATAAGACTAATTTTTATTGTGTTTTAAGCATTGAAATAACGTGTAAAATTTCTTCCAAACATGCAGGTTGTTAGACGTTCATTCAGTGTAACAGAATTAGTTATCCTTTCTGAAATTATTAAATAATTCTCATCATTCTAACTTCTGTAAGATCATTGAGGTGTGCTGAAGACCAGTCAAGTGGTTTAATGTCCATGTATTTATCCAAAAGCAAAGATTTAGAGCTAAGAACTGGCAAAAAGTCAATTGAACAAGCATTTAAGTTGTCTGAATAATATACTGTGACACTTTAGGCCCAATCCCAATTCTATTTTTGTACCCCTACCCCTTCCCCTTGGCCCTTGAAACATCGTGTGAAGGGGAAGGGCTTCAAAATTTACCCGTAAGAAATGGGACACCACTACAACACCTGCACACGTCATCATGTGTCATCGCAATCACTTGCTTCATATGAGATCGATAATCGAGTTGCGTTATTTTGGGTATTTATCTAAGGCATACTGTATATCATGTTAATTAATTGTGGCAATAAGATCGTATTGTAACTGTACTGTGCATTTACAACCTGGCCATATTCTTCTATGTAAATACACGAGAAACAACATAAACATTATAGCAGATGCTGTAAAAAGTTCATTCCCAGCAACTAGACTTTTCTGACAGAGTATTCGAGTGTTATCGAGTGTCAGTATGTTGTGGGACTGCTGTACAGGAGCTATTATTAGATATAGGAGTTTTATTTAATATAGGAGTTTTTATTTTAGCATTTTTGTTTTGAAGCATTACAGTAAAACACGAACGCGGTTATGAATGTATTAAAACATATGTTTGTTTGTTGTAGAAATTCATAATAATGTCTAAAAATAGTAATCCGTGCATCTCCTGACTTCGGGTGCAGCTATGCTACCGTTGTAGATGGTGTATTGAGAAATTTTCTTACCCCTTCGGTTTCGAGGGCTATCTAGCCCTTTCCCTTAGCCTTAAGCCTTTAAGCTAAAGAGAATTGGAAATATGCATAACACATTTTTTGGCATATAAACGATTGTTATTTAATAAAGTTTAGTGGATGTTTTTCAGGCCTGTAGCCAGCCTGTTGAAAGGGGTGGTTCTTTTTTCTCAAAAAGTGGACAATTTTGTAATTATTTGCCTTATTTTCTAATTAATTATGAGATTTGAATTCTGAATTTAGATGACAATTTAAAGACTATTTTTATCTGGATTAGCTTATTCTTAGCTGAATTATCATAAACATACTTTTTAATGTACCAAAAATATTTCCTAAATATTTAGAATAAAGAAATATGACAGATATTTTTAAAATACAAATTTATTAAATCATATATAATTAGAAAAAAAAGTATTAAATTACAAACTGTAGCCTATTACAATTTATTAGACAAATAACAAACTGGCTAGCACATTCAGGTTTCCTTGGTAAGAATTTGACCATTTGAATAATAAATATATTCATAACCTATTATTATTATTATTATTATTATTATTATTAATTTAGAGCTTAACAACCTTTCTAGCCTCTCTTGTAAAAGTGCTTCACACTTTTTTATTGGTCTTGTTTTCTTTCAAGAATAAAGTCCAGGATATATCGAATAAAATTTACTTGCCAATAGAGAATTTCTTTTCTCTATTTAATGCTTATGTCAGATGTTTTTTTGCACAGCTGGATGTTGAACTCTTAAAAAAAATAAGGATTTACATTAATCAATACTGATCAACTAAAGTCACACCAGGATTACGCTTGGCCTTTAAGCCTTTTTTGATGGGGTATTATTACTGTTTATGATGGCAGAGCAGTCAAAATAGGACAAATGAGCTCATGAATGGGACAAATTCTGAACCGTTGTCAGTGAGGGATGGGTCTTCCGAACCACCTGAACCCCCTCTGGCAACGGGCCTGTTCTTTTAGGACACATTTTAGTTGATTAAAAATGCATTAATATTAGTATTAATATTGGAAAAAATAGGATGTATTAAATGTATTATTATTAATTCTTCAACATTTTTGTTTTTGACTTATTTCCTCACAGTTGTACTCTTAATTTTAAGCGGGATGGTGTAAAATGTATTTCCCTGGTTGTAAAATGGTTTCAGTAGGTTTAGTTCTCAAGTTGCATTATACTTTTCTGTCACTATAGCATTGCTGACATCATCTGTCAATCAGATCAGACCACCCACCCTGTCAAGGACATAAAGGACAAGTGATGTACTTGAAAGTTTTATCTATGATGTTCAGTTCAAGTTTTATCAATGTAAATGATGTATGTGATATGATGTGATATGACAGTGTGTTGGTCACATTATGATAAGGATGATGATATGCACTTAAAGGGATAGTTCACCCAAAAAATGAATTCTACCATAATTTACTCACCCTTTCTTTTGTTAACCTATGTGATTTTCTCACAAAAATACAAAAGATATTTTGAAATATGTTGGTAGCTGACAACCATTAATTTATACTGTATTTTTTTGACCATTTTGGTTGCTTATGCCCCCAAAATTTAATCAATGCGATCTCATAATATATTTGGGAGCATTTGTACGACAACCAACATATAATGGTTGTAGTGCGACCTGTTAAGACTTTTTCTAAAAACGTGCTGAGTTACTTTTCCCTGCCGCTGTATTGGTTCATATTAGCTGTCAATCATTCAAGTCTTTCCGCTGTCAGGTGACAGGGAGCTTTTGTTACCGCGGGAAACGCAATCGGCTGAAGAGTGAAAAGTACACAGATTTGCAAACCCCACCTAAAGTTACAAATAACGGCGCCGATGACAGCGATCATGACATGTGGTGAATGTTGATCCGTCAGCCGAGATCATTCGTGTTTTCGGAGAAGGTGACCGAATCTTGATGTGTTGCATTCACTGCATGTTCAGCAATAATGTCCGCTAAATGTAAAATTTAACACTGTACATCATCGACAGAGAAGCTCGCCTTTACTAAGTTTAAACTGAAACTGCGGCTCATGACAATAGTATTACTCCGGTGGTCATCGCGAGAATCCTGCTCTGTCTCGCTTACATGGGTCGGCTGACTCGCCTGCTTTATTCAACAAACACAGAGAAATGTGAATCAGCGCACGAGACTGAGCATTTAAAATGACACTAACCCAAACCAAAACTTTTAAAGAGTGGCAGAAGTGAGGCTTTTCTTCCTTTCTTTTGCCCTTTCTTTCTTGAGATGTATTTTATTATTTAGTTACTAACTAAAAAAAACAGTTTTGCAGCTTTCAGCCTTGAACTGAATAATTTATTATAATATTTTGTTTGTTTTGTAGCAGAAATATTATTTATTATATTGACATACATATAAAAACAATAGTGTAAATAAATGTTTTTTTACTGCAATGCTTCATTTTAGTTTGATGCATACCATAAATTTATTTTTCATAAAGTAACAGACTTTTACTTGTCGGTTTAGTCCCTTTATTAATCCGGGGTTGCCACAGCGAAATGAACCGCCAACTTATCCTGCAAGTTTTTACGCAGCGGATGCCCTTCAAGCCGCAACCCATCTCTGGGAAACATCCACACACATTCATACACTCATACAATACAGATAATTTAGCCTACCCAATTCACCTGCACTGCATGTCTTTGGACTGTGGGGGAAACCGGAGCTCCCGGAGGAAACCCGCCCGAATGCAGGGAGAACATGCAAACTCCACACAGAAATGCCAACTGAGCCGAGGCTCGAACCAGTGACCTTCTTGCTGTGAGGCGACAGCACTACCTACTGCGCCACTGCATTGCCGTAACACTTTTTTTTTAGCAGATAACTCTCATTCAAGCACATTCATGGCAACATGATAATGAGAAATGCAACTCATTGTTAGTATTATTGTCATCATCATCATCATTAATATTTAATAATTATTAGACATACATTTTGGTATTGTTGCACACAAAGATCAATAAGTCATCAGAGAATTAGTAAGATAGTTGTTTCTTGTTTTTGTTAGTCCTAATTGATGTTGTTTTCAAATGCAATTAATACCTTAAAATACAATTTGCAATGGTGCTCATTTATTTTTGGCGGGCGCTCCTATATTTTTACTGCTGCTCCTAAATATTTTTGGTGCTCCTAAATATTTTAAGTTGGGGGCAACGATGCTACCATGTAAAAAAGTTAATTTCGAGCCCTGTATTATGGAAGTCGATGAGTGCTAGCAACAGAAGAAAGAAACTCATAAAGATTGCATGAAGGAGAATAAATGATTAGCTAATTTAGATTTTTGCGTGAACTAACCCTTATAAGGGAAAGTCAACTACTTTTATTTGGAAATGTGATCCACGTAATTGTTACCAAAGAGAAATCAAATTATATCTAGAACAGTCATAAAAGTAAAAGTTTTTTTTTCTTCCGTTTTAAAATTTGACAACTTAAAAGTATGTAAATCAAGGTGATATGCTCTTAACAGCTCATGTATGTCCATTAATCACTAGAGTTATGCTGCTGTTTAGTAACACTGTCTGACATTGGTTTCAGGAAATGAAATATATATTATTTTATTAGATTAGATTATATTGGACTCAATTTAACTCCCCAGAGTGCAAATATAATTTTTTTACAT